TTTTTTTTTTTTTTTTTTTTTTTTTTTTTTTTTTTTTTTTTTTTTTTTTTTTTTTTTTTTATAAATTGGTTGAAAGACAAAATAAGTAAAATTCAAAGTGTGAGCTGTGGTGTAGTGTGGTATGGTGTTGTGCGATAATAATGCGTAGCATGGTGTGGTGCGATGATGTTGTATGGTGTAGGGGGATCGGAAGTACTTCAAGAGGGGCCGGGCAAAGGGGGAGAATGAAGCAAAATCCACTTTCGTTAAACTTTTTCTTAAGATCACCAATCTGAAATCATTGATTTACTCCTTAGGGCAGACTGCGCCTACATAAGTATAACTTCGAAACAAAATATTCGCAGTCATGTCTTTCTCAAACATCTTGTCGAATACTTCGTTGAGAGGACAAACAAAAGCCATGTTGAGTGTTGAAAAGTAAAATCTATAAGAAAATTGAGCATCAAGTACTATAAAAATTGAAATGTTAGTAAACAATTTTGTTTTTACAATTTTATATGATATATCATTAATTAACTAAATTCAAATGATGCAAGCAACTGGTGTTGCTTAGCATACTATGTTTAATGTAAATACAATCTGATGCCTTAACCCATTAACTAACACATACGTACGATTTACTTATTGCGTTCATTGTCCTCTGTATCCTAAGACATAAACGCACACTGACTGACACTTTCAAGTCACGCCAGTCTCACCACGTGTATTGATGCACACACACAACTAACGCCTCCTTCTCCAGCTCTCAAATCAGCTTTATGTACACACGCACGCATACGCACATGCATCCCTAGAGCAGATCAACCGACCTTGGCCTCCAGCCGCCTTCTTGAACGAGCTCTCTCACACGCATACAAACATCTAACTGGTATTATCCCAACTCGTGGATGCACAAACACTGACAGACTGAGTTATGTGCCAGTCCCCCTGCCCTAGACCCAGGTACCACTGGCAACGTGACGCCGTATCCTTGAATATACTCTTACATTCATCAAATATACCCACACAGATATACACACAAATTAGTGACAAATAATATACTTCCATGAGACATCCATTCCAAAAATGCAACTGGCTGACTAATACCTCTACGAGTGCATTCATATACATACACACACACGCCTGCACGCATGCGTCCAACCGACACCTTTTCAAATGCGCGCATACCACCAGCACCTTCCCCTTGGACACACTCCTTAATGGACATTTAATTGTCCCGCAACGACTTACACCTTTTTTTTTAATACGCACATGCACGACTGACTGACAGTCCGACACCTTCTCAAATTCGCTCTTACACGCACACACACGAATAACGCATTTTTCTCGAATCTACTGCTCAATAAGAAAGGATATAGGGTCCCTTCCTTTCCACACTGATTCCCTTCAACTCTACGTGCTTACCTAGCGCTCGCATTTAAACTCACCCTCACTCAATTGTTTACCTGGTTGTTCCGGACTTGAAGACGGTTGACTTGCTGGTGGATTTCTGGTCACTGCAGATTGTACAAAGTCGTTGATTTCAAACTTAGAAGTAGTTGCTGATAATATACTAATGTTGCAGTCACATTTGTCCTGGCCAGATGTTCAAGAAAAATAGACAGCTAACTAGCCCTTGACCTGCTCTTTCTAACTTAATCTTGCGTTTTTGAGTAGAATCTAATTGGAGGGCGATTTTATAACGATACTATACTAGATGACAACTACTAAATCTTCCGTACAACGCCACTTGTAAATTAAGTAATATTTATTTAAATTTATATCAAACTTCACCAACAAAGCCATAATTTTAAGGTCTTTCAATAGAAAATGAAGTACGAATATATTCAAAATTAGCGCTCTTTTACGGCAAATGATCAATTAAACGCCAGTAGTCAGTAGCCAATGCTATTGAGGCTTCACTTTAAGGCCATTAAACTTTTAAGATAGGATATAATAGTATACAAAGAAAAAGTGGAGAGAAACAATAAGAATAAAGAGAAAAAAAGACTGAGAAAACACGCACATTCACCACTTGTTTACCTTCTTCTTCCTTCTATTAATATACTCTCAGCATTTTATATGGATGCAGTTTTTGCAACCACGACCCTCTTGCTGTAACCCACTATAAAAATTCTGTTCAGAGAAAACAAGCTTTTGCTATTATTGACAGTTGCTTCAACAGTGCAGAATCATTCTAATTTTTTAATTACAGACAAATCATGTACACCCAATATAAGTCATAATAAAGTAACGTTTCATCTACCACTAATCGACAACGAGGTGTCTTCATGTGGGGTCACGCGAACCATACATAAGCAAACGGTAAGCATTTTAACAAATATATAATTATTCTCGAGTATAACTACATTATCTCTTAGTACTTTCTTACCTCTTTTGATCACTTTTGACCATTGCAAACAAAAAGCATTTATAATAATTTTCAACACTTTTTAAATATTTTATTTTATCAATAGTATTTAGAGTAATTCAAACTTACTAAGCTTATAATCGTCACTTTATTACTAATCAAATTCTAACTCTAATTTTATAATCGTCTAAAAAAGGTACTGTGTACCAAAGCAGCTGTTATCGCAATACTACAGTTTCAAAAAAAAGGAAGATTCTAAGCCTAGTGTGTTATAATCTTGTAACATTTTATAATTATGCTAGGATAGTACCTAGAAATAAGCTGCATACTTAAGGAAAAGATGGCTTGTCCGTGTATACGCTTGGATTACTATAAGCCTATTAATTTTATGTAAACTGCTAATAAAAGATGTGGCTCAAAATGATTCAAATAATGCTCACTTTTTTCGTAAGCCCACTCAAGAATTGTCAAGTTTTGCTAAACAGTAGCAGACGCTTCTATCTGGTGGAACTCAAACAGAGCATGCACAATAAAAAAATAAGGATGAGTGTCACACGTCCATTGATTGGTGAATGTTCTTAGACAGAGAGAGAGAGAGAGAGAGAGAGAATTGAATTAAATTGCAACACGGTTTATTAATGCCAAGGATAAGATATCCAAATGGCAATAGCATATACAAAATACAGTAGAGATTTACAATACCATTATAAATACAATGAATGACCAAATTGAGGTTAACGATAAACAATAAATGTAATATCAAAGTACTTAGTAAAATTCGATGTTTAACAACAACAATATAGTAAAAGAGGACACATAGTCACATAACATAAAAATTGAGCAGCATAAATATCCTATTCAAGAGCAATCACAGACCACAAGCGCAACAAGTTACCCATTTGTACAGATAAGTAGAGATTGACTAATTACAAATTACCTTAGACATTATTAGTTAATAAAACGTTTAGATCCATAAGTACTATTTAGTCGAGACGCGATGTAAGCAAATACCTGTGTAGGGCCATCTTAAACGTCCCGATACTTTCCTTTAAGCGAATAAAGACTGGAATAGTTTCCCAAAATCTCATGGCCAGTTGGGAAAACGAAGAGGCATAAGACGAAAGGGCAGCTCATGGCAGAGCCAGGCCAGTTTGTGCATGACGTGAAGATCGACGGAGCCCATCAGAGATCCTTGGAAACAAATTGTACAGGTATTCAGGTCTCCGAGTGGTTAAAACTTTATACATTGCTACACCAAGAAAATAGTCACGTCTTTTATTAGGGCGTAGCCAACCCAACATAGCATAATAAGGCAACATAGCCGTATCACGGCGGAGGTTAAAAATATACCTCAATACTGTATTACACAGACGGTCCAGCTTAATGGCAAGGTATCCAGAGAGGCTCATGTACACCAAACAGGCATAATCAAAATGGGGCCTGATGAGGGTCGTTGCCAGTGTCAATTTGATTCTACATAAGAGAGATCGACCCTTGTACCGCAACCTGTATAGTGTACCGTGGACTCGGGAGCAAATAGCAGAGACATGTGCATTCCAGGACAGGTCATTAGAAATCAACACGCCAAGGTCCTTGATTTTACTACACAAAGGGATCACGCTTCCGCTGACCAAGATGGGGGGCAAAAGCGCCTCGTCCACACGCATCAACTGGCAAGTACCGATAAGGGTCGCCAAGATCTTGCCATGGTGCAGTGCCAAGCCGTGAGCCGACGACCAAGACACAATGCGCACGATGTCCTCGTTGAATACACCAATTGTCTTGTGGAGGTCTGAAGGTTTGCACTGGATGTAAATTTGTAAATCATCAGCAAAGAGCACACCCACGCTATGATGGAGGACGGAGAGTATAGAGTTAATAAAAATTAAAAATAAGACCGTACCCAAAGAAGTGCCCTGGGGCACCCCAGAAATGGCTGGCATGAAAGACATGTGTCCTCCTTTGGGCTTCAGCACCGCCTAATAGCGACCCGACAGGTAAGAGTGAAACCATTCCAGAGTGTCCGCCGAGAGCCCCATGCCACCCATCTCTCGCAACAATAGTTCGTGGCCAATAGAATCGAACGCCTTTCAAAAATCGAACAAGACTAAAATGGTCACCATGCCAAGCTCCATACCAAGGGGAATATTTTCGGTGATCTTCAATAAAGCAGTCTGGGTGCTAAAGCCAGCCGGAAGCCCGACTGCATCGGCGATAGCAAGGAATGAACCTCCAGATAATCATATACTCTTCGCGCAACTAGAACGTCAAGAACCTTAGCCAAATGGGTAAGGTTAGCAATCGGGCAGGTGTCAGAAGGGTCAACCGGATGAGGGACCTTAGAAAGAGGGACAGTTACAGACCTCTTCCAGGACGATGGGTAGGTGCACGTGGCAAACGACATATTGAAAAGGTGCGTCAAAAACGGATGTAAAAAGGAAAGTGATTCACGAAAATAAGCAAACGACAGACGGTCAAAACTATGGCCCTTGGTCTTTCCACAACACTGCATGATAGCCTGACCAACCTCAACGCACGAAATCGGAGCAAGCGAAAACTCAGAGACAACGTTAGATGGCTGCAGCAAGACTTCTCTTAATTTTTAAACACTACAAGGAGGGTGAGCACGCCACACAGAAGAGAAGTACCGTGCCACCATATCAGCAGACAAAGATTGCAACGGAGATCTCTGGGTCTGCTGAAGCAGACCATGTCTGCGCATAATCTGCCAGCAGCGGGCAGGACTTCTTTCATCCTCCAAAGCCTTCACGAAAAACCTGTCACAAGCAGCGTTAATATCTTTTTTCACAACCGCACGCAAACGGCGATACTCGGTGAGCAAAGCCAAATCACCTGTTCTACGGGCCACCCCATACAAACGATCACGCTGCTTACATCTGTCCTTTAACGACACATCAAACCAAGGTGCAGGTGGACGGTGGCACGAAACACGCAGCCTCATTGGTGCATGAATATTAAGCGCATCAATCACCGTTTTATGGAATTCATCCAGGCAAGAGTCGACATCATCCACCATACCAGAATCGTGAAGCCGCTCAGCACGAACCCGCTGGCCAATGGCAACATCGCCATCAAAATCCGACGCGGAAAAGAGCCGAAAGTCACGCGTCATGCGTGGCACATCCCTTCGATCGACGGAAATATTGTAGTCCACAATCTGATAATAATGGCCATTTATGAAAGGCACATCAGATAATCGCGAAGACAAGACCCTGTCTCTCGTGCCCGTCAAGATCACATCCAACCAGGTATGGGTTGCATCACGATGATGTATCGCTCCAAAGGGAACAAGGTATAACGAATTCTCGGCTATTAGATTACGCAGGTGAGACGAATAGTATTCATGCCGTACCAGGTCAGAGTTTAAGTCTCCAGCAACAACAATATCGGAAACTCGAGAAGCAGCATCCTGAAGGACAGTGAAGAAATCCGTGAGCACATCTCCCTTAGGGCGTCGATAGACTGAGGCGAAAAGTTGACAAAAACCCCTTCCGCACCAAGAGATCCAACATCAGGTATTCCGTCTCGTTCAACCTTGAAATTTGCGGGGACCTAATTATGCGACAGTTAATATCTTCACGAACGTAACATGCGACTCCACCGCCCTAAACATACTCATGACAACCCCCCACCGCCCGAAGACCCCTATCGTTACGGACAAGTTTATAATGCAGTATGTTAAATAAGGTGGAACATTGAGCTGGGGTAAGCCAAGTCTCGGACATTGCCAGCACATCAATGTTAAAGCAATGAAGAAGATACCGAATATCATGTAAGTGCTCACGTAAAGAATGCACATTAGTGTGTGCCACGCGAAGAGGTCGGCAATTTCGTACGCCCGTACAATGCAAAGAACGTGATAGTCACTGAAGAGTTTCCAAATCAGCCTCGGCACAGATATTCTGTCGCACAGATTTTTCATCACGCTGCACATAAACCTCACAGCCTCGCCCCCAAATAAACTTATAATTAAGTCTTTTAGCTTTGGATTTTGCTTTCATTAGGAGGGAATGCGTAGCACGTGGAAGAAGCTCGTACAGTTTAATGACCTCAACACCAGTATAATTATTGCATAATTGTAAAAAGCTTAATTTTCCAAAGTTCTTAAAAGTCTTTAAAATATGATCGCGAGTTGGGCCCGATTTTAATGTAATCTGATATGAGCATGTTGCACCAGTAGCAGCACGAGCCCCAATGTCTCCCGAATTCGATGGAATCAATCCACGCTTAGTAGGGAACGGGCACACCTCTAACTCTTTCTAACACGTCAGAAAGAAAACTGTGCAACTGTAAAAGAATCAAAATTTTTTGCACGAATTCACGCGGATTAATCTTAAACTGTGCTGGCACACCCATTATCTTAAGCTGGCAGATGGTAGCTGGATCTCTCTGCAAATCTACCACACGTTGAAGGGTGGCCTTCAACTGAGCATTCTCGTCACGAAGCTGGCTCAAATCATCTGTATTTGCATTAACCTGGGTCTCAATGCGCTGCAAACGTACATTGGTTTCAGCACTTGACTTCGTGATGGCTTTAAAAAGCATAGCCATGTGTTAAGCAGGAGACTGTGAGTCCCATTCCACTGGCAATACATCAGCCTCGATCACAATGTCGTATTGCTGACCAGCGTTGGGAGCAATAGATCCAGATGGTTCACTCTCAACTACGCCTGTCATCACATTCACAGGGTCCATTTGTGACTCAGAATCCATGAGCAAATGCTCCTTAGGGGCCAGGTCAACTCCACGAATACCGTCAATCAAGCGCGCACGTGACTCCAACTGTGGCTGTGATGATCCACGCTGCGGCACGTCCCTATTCCGACGAGCAGAGTCACTGAATGAACGTGCACAGCAACTCTTACATGAAATTACCTTTAAATAGCGCAATATACATTAATTATGAAACGATTTCTGGCAGGTAATGCAAGTCTTACCTCTATGAATTATAGGCCTTGTACATTTATAGCAAGTAATCTGTGTATTGCTCATTGAATTAACAAACTAAAAGCCGAAAGAATTACAACACAATGATTTATTAACAGATGAAATGGGGCAAAACTCTAAAATAATCAAATAATAATACGGGAACATAAAAGCAATAATAGACACTTTAGTATCAACAAATCAAGGTAAAGTTGTCAAGGCGTCTGTCTCACTTTAGCGTGTGTATGCTATGTAACAAGTCGTAATAAAGACAAAACACACTCAATATGAGAACAAAATTTACAGGTAAAC